GTGTTGCGTGACGTTAGCAGGACTCGATAAACCTTAACAGGGTGATTTAGTGATATCAACTGAGTTTATAACGTAAATTGGCCATCGTAAAGAGTTTAAAGGCTGACGAAGGGCTAACGCTCGAAACGTCAGCCTTTAAACTCTTTACGGTGGCCAATTTACCTTTTAAACTCTGTTGATAACACTAAATTACCCTGTTATGCTCTCCCACCGACGCAGCACAGTTTTTTTCGAAACTTACTCCCTTTGTTCATCGATAAACTTTAACCAGTTTCTCAACCCAGTTTCCATGGCTCATAATCAGTTATTTTACCTTCCGAAACGTGAACGTCTTCTCATAAGTCTCGTCGACCTTCAAGGTTCTGAGGTCGAAGGTTTCTTTCTCGACCAAATCGTCATGAAATATGTCACAGTCCATCAGTGTTATTTCTGAAAAAAGAACAATTGTATTGAAAAATTCTGGATTTTTGGAAAAAAAGGTTGGTAACATTTCCTGGCTCTTTTTCTTTCCAAAAACAAAACCCAACAAAATTTCCATTTTTATCACCTTTGTCACCATTTTCCAACCATCCCTGAGCCAAATTCTCACCAGCTTACCAAACATGACAACAAAAGACAAACAACTAGGATGTTCTCTTGAGCGCAGAGCTTATGACTAGCAATCTCCACTAAGTTGAACAATCATTTACATCATTTGACCTGCCAAACAGGTATTATTCTGAGTGCGTGTACGTGTGTCATTTTTTGGCAGATTGAGGTAAGCCCTTGGCGAGCACGAATCACGCGCCAGTCACGCACATATTTCAGCTGACCTTGCTTCTAATGTTTGGACTGTTATCGTGACCCTTTTATACGAGCAATGCCTACTTACGTAACAAATTCATCTTATCCGGGTCAAGAAAAAACTGGAACATTTCATCCCATTCCGGATTAAAGGTATTTCTCTGAACCTTGGTTCTTCGTTTCCCGTTTGGTGAAGTTGGTATAAATAACTTGACATAAGGATCAGGAGTATCAACTGAAGAGAATTATACGGTTGAATGTACTCATTAATAGGCGTACAAGATTGGCTGCTTTCTCGGGGTTAACGTAAATGCGGCGTGAGTGTTTTACGGGGTCTGGAAACAAAAATGCCAGACCCCTCGCCGGCCCGAAAGCTATGGGCGTTGCTCTCGTGCCGCGATACCAGTATGCGCCTGCTTCCAGACTAATTTTATTTTTACAGTTACTACAGTTGATTTAAATACTGAAAAGTATTTGAAAACGTTTTATTTTAATGCATTATGCAGCCTTTGGCAGATATTATTGAGGAACCGTACTGCTTTCCTACAACACTCAGTTCTGGATCCCCAACGGTTTCTCATCTAATAATGTCAGTAGTCTGCGCAAAAATTGCGTCGTTCGTCTCTGTTTACCATTTAATTATCATATCCAGCCTTTTAAAGGGTTTAAAAATACGTCTTCGCTCAACCTTTTCAATGTCTGCTTTTCTGTCATCGTTCCCCCTGCTTTTAACCTTTTTAATCACAATTTGCCAGCTTAAAGTCCACTTGAATCTTGAAAAAATTTCAGAAACAACCGAGGCTTTTTAATGCAAGGGACTGAGCCAAGAAGACGTCTGATAAAGGTGACCACTTTGAACATGCACAAATGTTTATTAAATACTTACTCATGCCTTCCAAGCCGCCTACAGTTATATTACGTCCACGAAGTACTCTGATTGTAAGTCTGAGACATGAACGATACGTCGCCTGTAAGTCAAATAGAGAAACATCACTGGTGAAGCAGATAACTGAAATTATACCTTTCTTTCTCGAGCAGTCCTTAAAATTAATTGTTAATCTGTTCTCAACCTTGATACACAATATGTTTTCTTTCTGATAAAGAATTAACGGCGAAAGGAAATGAACAAACAAAATATATTGAAAATATATGATATTTTAAACTTTCTTTTTCTTTTATATTGAAAAGAAATACTGCCTTAAATAGAAAAGTGATTTTCAGTCTTAATGAACATTTAAGGAAGAAGTAAAGCAGTTGTATATTGTCCCTTATTAAAACACCATGTCGAATTAAAAAAAACAAACAAACAAACATAATTAAACTAAACGTTTTACTTCTTCTACCACAGTACTACGTCTGCAGATGGTTTAAGAAAACGATAAAGAACTAAGCTTGCAAATGCCTTACCTGCACGAATCTTCGCTTGGGCCGTTTTCCGAAATCTCTCTGCGGTCCAACATTTGTCTGAGTGTTGTTTACATCGAGAGAATGCGGTTTTCTCTCACCTAACAAAAAATCCAAGCAACTGTCAAAACCTAGTCATGTGTTACAGTTCTCCTCGCACGCTCGTATCCATCAATTACCTATAGAAACGCACACCATGTTTTATCGTCCGTACATGAAAGCTGATGGTTTGTGAAACTTATAGATATTGATAAAGAACACTTCAAACTTAAAGTACTAGTCTGTCCTGTTTCGAAAAAATCTTGCATGCTTCTTGAAAGTAAAATTCGCCATAAGGGTTTCGAAATGGCTTCAAAGAAGGAAACGGTATAAGAAAAGACAGACATACAAGCTACAATTAAATTTTAGAACGTGTTTTGTTCTCATGGATTACCATATAGAAGTGCCTCAGACATCACCAGTAGAGCGTGGATTTATTGTCCTCACCCTAACAACTGCGTGATTAGTTTTCCGCACATGTATGTACGCGTCGCGGACTAACGTGTTAGTGAGTCGGGTAAAATTTACGCACAGCGCCATACTATTGCTAAACAAATCTGTTTTCCCAATGGCAATGTATTGTTTTTGTCATTGTTTTCTCTATCCAGGAACTGAATGCATAATGTAGTATGTGGCTGCGCGGAAATTTTACTGTGAGTCGTTCGTTGAGTAATAGTAATATGTTGAATAGAACACATTTGCAACAACTCGATGAGGTTTTCGTGACTGATGATAAGTTTTCCTAGTTTAATTGAACCACGAAAAATGAATCGTCCACCCACAGTCATTAACCTTGAGTCGCATTAACAAACACAGTTTGTAAAACCATGAGACATACATGTCAGGCCTTTGTCTAGTAAACGATAACTAAAACTGACACAAAAACCTAATTGTGACGAAGTCATTAAATTATTTCAACCAGCGTTAATGAGCTCAACTGAGCGTCACCAGAAAACCTTGTTTCAAAGGAGAATCAGTGAGACTCGAAGACTGAAATTTACGAAACAATTCAGTAGTTGGCTTCGTTATGTTTTAAGCAAACGCTACGCAATTTTCACTTCAGTCTATTTCACAACTTACCGCCAACACATCCGTTCTTAGAGCTTCTTCAAAATACTTAACAACGATGGCAAAATTTTGTTTCCATAGCGTTTTTATTGACATTTCAAAACATTGTAACGCTCACGTTTGTCAAGAACGAAGAGCAGAATTAACGTCAAAGACATGGGCGAAAATTAACATGGGCGATTGTTTTAAACATTTAAAGTCCTTCCAACAAAAAATTGCTCGAAGTCATATGTTACTTCCCTTCGTATTGGTCATGAATTAAGGCGGTAATTAGATAATAATATTCACTGTTTTGTGCTTCAGTATAACGATTGACGCAGATGTTTGTCATGCACATTAGAGATTCTTCACAGTCAGCCATCCGTCTAGATTCAGTGATAAATGTAGTTTACAGCAGCAATGTGATGCCAAGGTGAAGCAAAGCACAACAACACGACATATTGTTTAAACCGTCACGTTGCTATTGCTCTAAATAAGAGAAAACGTGTTTAATTATGAGTCGACGTGTTTACAAGCGTGACGAGTTGAAGCTCTAAACAGAAGCTCTACGGTATAGCATTGAAGTGGACACAAGTATTAAGTGCAATGCCGGAGGAACTGAAACTCTGAATTAGACTGCGGAAACGATTTATTGCCATTCCCCACGCTGAGTCGAAGTTAATTTTGACTTTTGACTAAAAACTACTGCGTGTCAGTAAAATAACGAAGGCATGAGCAATGTAGGAATATAGATAGCAGTGCTCTCAATAGAACTCATTCGAAACAAGATTTTGTAACGCTGGTTAATTTGGGCAGTCTTTACGGGTAGTGCATGAACAGGGGATCAGTCCATCACCATATTAAATAATTGAAGATAAGGTCGATAAGTGAGAAGCGCAAAAACGGCATAATTTAAACTGCCATCTGTAAGGATTTCGAATGGATGAAGAAAAGGTATACTGCATTGCTTCCTACCTCGACAAGCCAGTTGATTGAGTTGGATCTTAGGATGAGCAGTTTGTCTTTCTGGAGTCGTGGAGTCTTGGCTAGTCAGGTGTCTGTCGTGATTTTGATGATTAACGGTTCCATTGCGGTTTACTTCTCCACATTGTTCCTTGTCTGAGCGCGATGAAGGATTTACGCTTGTGATCGAAGATTTACGCACCTTTGATGGCCTAGAACCCATACTTAAGAACAGCTACGTGCTACTTTTCTCCTCTCTAAGTTTTTTAGACTTAAAAAGAGCAAGGTGCAGGATTGCGGAAAACTTGTGACACATGTCACAAAGTTTTTTTTTATCATAAATAATGATAAAAATTCGCAGTTTCTAGATTTTAATGACGTCATTAACATTTCATCTTTGTCAATGCTTGTTTACTATAGCTGCCAGCAGCATTTAAGATGACGTAATCAAAGCAAAAATTTAAATATTTTTCTTGTTCCAGAACCTTTTTCGTTCATCTCTCGGCGCCCTTTACTTTTAAAGTTCGTCGCTTTAAACCCTTGAAAATCTACTCTCTCCTCAACTCTTCCCTCCCCTCCCCCCCTTCCCCTTTTGGCATTTGCATCAGGTCTATTGATTGAGTATTGAGAAAGTTTAATGGTAATATAATCATCGACAAAATGACAGGGTAGAACTCATTTTAATACTTGTTGAAGCATCTCTTTTTGTGAAATACACTCGTTGTTGGCGTCACTGTAATCTTAAGGAAACCTACTGAACTGCTGGGCTGGAATTACGACAAGGGGCTTAAGTTTTGTCTACAAGGCTATAAGGCGTCTTCTAGGTTAGTGCAATGATATCCTTCATTTAAAGCATCAGCCCCGAGGAAGACCAGAGGCGCAAGTCGAAGTTTTGAGCTTTTTTAAAAGGTTAAAACTCTTTACACCATAACATCAGAACTGTTCTCTAAACATTTCCTATGTTACCACTGTTTGAAAACCACGAGCTTCTTTAATGGGCGATGATTTCCTACATTCTCATATCCTTAATGTTTGATTTAGGGGGGATACTGTGAGGAGAAATTTGTTGCTGGTCACTCTTAAACACGAAGGCGCGCTATATAGGGAGAGGTGCCTTAGGTACCTCTGGATCATTTGTCACTCAACCGTAATGGCATACAGAACTCCAAAACAGCTTGAGCTGCAGCCAATGCAAGGAACTGACCAGAGGCGTATTTCTCGGTAAATTTCTACGTTTTCATCACAATGGAATAATTTGTTGAGGTTTGTATCACCTTCCTCCGATCGAAACCTTCTGCATTTGTGGCGGTAAATTTGAAATTCGAAATGATTCGCTTCGCCATCGCGTAAAACTGCCATAGCGTAATTTCATGTCTGCTTCTAAATACTGGATGTAGATGACCGTAAGAATAAAAAGGAAAGATGAAGAAATGAGAAATGACTATGAGAGAGAACACTTGCGCATGGGTAAAGTGGGAAAAGAAGCCCCTTTTGATAAACGGAGGGAAGTAGGAACAATCCTGTTAGATATACGTTAAAAACCTACATAAGTTATAGATAAATATTTAAATGTCTTTCCCTTCTATGGACTCTTCAAGATGTAAGCACTGTTTTTGATCGTGCAATTGATTCATTTCATTTTTATTACTATTCTGGTACAAACTGTGGAATATATCTAGAGTCACGCGGTTTTACCTGTGGATTCGATTGGTTAACAAGGATATCGATGGGCTGATAAGATTCTAGACCGTGAATTTCTGGCTCAGGATCCGGCGTCACCCTTGTTGGTTTGTGAAAGAATGAAAACGTGAAAAAAATTTGTATGACCGTCCCTACTACAGACAAAACAATGACAGAAGTTGTGATAACTTTAAAAATCCACGGATTCCACCGCGAGTCACTGTTCGTCTTTGACCATGAGTAAAACAGCAAAATCATCACAACGTTTTCACCGGTAAAACAAGAGTAAAAGAGAGTTGAAGAAATCACGGATCTGCCAAGTTTTATGTCGAACAATTTGGCATTGAGATCCATTACTTTAAATCCCAGGTAAACGAATACGTAGCATGGCATAAGTAGCAAAGCAATCCACCAAACTTCTTTCTCGCTGAAGTATTTGTGATTTCTATAGACATAAATTGTTATGCATATCAACTCATGGAAAGCCAGGACAGCTGAGGTAAACCATTTGAAAGCAACAAGGAAAGCTACAATTGACATCCCACGAGCTGCGATAAGGCAAACGTTGTAAAATATCATAGCCAAAAAATGTGTTGCTGTGGCCTCTTTAACAAAGCTGCAGTACTCGAACAAGGTCATTACCCAAACGAGGTTTATAAATGTAATACAAATCGAGAAAATTTGTATCGGATAAATTTTTTGCTCTTGAATGACTGTCACGTAAATCTGAAGAATAATTTGCGGCATGTTTTCCAAAAGGCCTTCTACATAGTGATAAACTTTTTCAGCTCTGTAATCCTGTCGAAGTTTTTCGTCGTCCACGAGCCAACCCCGGACGCTTCGCACTTCGTCATAATTCCGTAAACAAACGAGTAGAAGCTTCATCTTCAGAAAGCCAGATCCGCATGGATTGGCAAAGAAAATAAATTTTCCCACCAGTACAATCTTGCTCTCTTGTTTACAACGTTGCAAGAGGTATGCAAGTGTTAATAGGAACGATGGCAAAACTGCAAACGCCAAGCAAAAGCCAAACCAGATAAACTGTCGCTGTCGGTAATAAGTTGTTGCTGTCAATATGTCGGTTGCTACGTCAGAACAAGTTAGGAACGCACCAAAAGAATACTTGAGAAGTTCGTATTGGCCAAGTCGTATAGTATTTTCAGCCATTTTCCCATTACACTGGTTCACTGATCATCGAAGTTTTGATGTTGCTTGCACAATTGTTAAACGTGAAAATCTAAACTTGCTCTCAATCCGTCTTTGGTCTGAAAATAAATCTCATCGATGAAATCATGCGTGACTAGTGTGTTATCATACAACGTAGTAATGCAGCAATTTGTGATCTTTCTGTCGGCTGCAGACGTTCTTTTGTCTTGAATTAAATCGTTTTTCGTCTAGAATTGATCGACGATTTGATTCCTTCATCGTAGAAGTTAAATATTTCTCACCAAAAGCTAAACCACTAATTAGTTTGCATATCACCTTACGGCATTTGCAATGAAAATTAATTACATTTCTGACGTACACGAGTCACGGCCGACCGAATAATACATTTTCTGAAGAAATGTCTTCTTCGATAAGTGTTTTACTGGTAAACTAAACAACGACAGTTCTTGCCGAAGGAAAATCTTTCTCGTGGATTGCCCTAGATCGCAAAAATAGAGCTCTAATTTTGTCAATATTTAACTTTGTCATGTTTTATATTATCTGAACAAAGCTCGCATGTGGTGATCGTGATGTAAGCTGAAAACCATTTATGACATTTTTTATTAGCCTATGAAAGCCTTTCATAATCCCAAATAATAATTTTCCCTGATATGACGAGAATATCTTAAATGTGTAACTTCGTAGATTTAAGTGTATTTGTAAATTTCACGTTCACGCGAATCAGGTTTGTTATTATGTCACGCAATAAATGAAGAGACAGAAGAAGACTGGGGCGGGCTATGAGAACTGTTGTGGAACATTTTAAGATGGTGGAGGGACTACGCGAAGCAACGGTTTTTGTGTAGCAAATGCATTTTTCCCATCCGATTTCGATCTAAACTGCATGGGAAATTTCCCTTTTGTCTGAGGGATCATAGATTTATATTGGATGAGCTTTTCGTTTGGTGAAAAATGGATCAAAACGAATCTTCCGTACCGAGACGTGATGCATGTGGTCGACAGAGAGAAACACACGGAAGAAAAGATATGACTCTTCGTAGGAGAAACTTCTCTTTTCCATCTGAAGAGAGATCAAAAACCCTCCAACTGAAAATTAGAATGATGAACTTCAATAAATTTCGGAGGCGAAAAGGGCCGGCTTGGACAAGAAGTGAACAGAAAAAAGCGAGATCTTCACATTCAGGAAGCAGTAAAAGTTGTACGTTGGAAACAGCTGATTCAAATCAACCTCGGAACTCTGGTGTTCGAGATATCCTTTTACAATCCTGTCAAAAGCCGTATTTGATATAATTTTCCATTAACCGAAGTATATACAAAAACGATACAGCCATTATTGTTCCTTTACCAAGACTACAAATTCCAGGGTTTTATTATGATCCAGAGAAGAAGCGTTATTTCAAAATCACCAAAGATCACCCTGGCAAAAATTTTGCGATATGTCAGGATGGAGGATATAAGAGTATCTCATCCAATAATCATAACAGAGTAAAAGCTGGAGATATTAAGGTTATCAAAGTGAGTATAACTCGATTAACAAGTTGTTTACATTTTGCTTCCTGGAAACGGTTATTTCCACTCACTATGATTGTTTTCGGATTTTGCAATTCTTCAATTTGCTGTCAAAAAAATTTAAGTTTGCAGTGTCTGCAGTTGTCATTGATCAGCCAAGAAAATTATCTTGTCTCTTGGCCAATCAGATGCACACAAATAAAACCTAGACTCAGTAATTTCCAGGATGACTGTGGTTGTTAAAACGTCCAACTTTTAAAACTTGTTGATGACATTCAGTGAGGTAATTTTCTGAATGGTTACTGGCCATTCAACTGTTGATCTGTGGTGTTCATAGTTATAGAGTTGCCAATAATTATTAAGATTTCTTGTGTTTACTATGTTACAATTTCAGAAACCATCAAGAATTTCTATCTTAAATAGTCTTCATGATAGGGAGTACTCTCTCAGCACACAGACAACTAATAAGTAAGTCAAGAAAATGACATGATTTTTTTATATTTAAAAATTAAACAATTACAATAGATATTTGATATGCACTCAAATTAAAATTTCATAATTAAAATTGATGTTACAGGAATATATTGGAAAAGCTTATTCAACTGGTAAAGGATAGGCAAAGACTTGTGTTAGATCCTTGTGCTGATCACCACCTTGAACTGGATCAATTTGCAGTGTCAAGGATAGAGGTAAGTTTCTGTCGACTCTATCTGATCTTGTTTGTGGACCCCTTTAGTATGAAGTTGAGCTTGTGAAAACCACTGAGCCATTCCATCCTCTGACTTTGCCATGCAACAACCCCATTAAGACAATCACTTGCCACGAAAGTGTTCTCCCTTACTTTAAGTACAACATGTAATATTAGTTTTCAAAACAGTAGTCAAGAGCAATTCCCTCTACTTGTTGGAGTTTAAAAATTCCGAGATATTTAAGGCAGTAATAAGAGAAACTACAGGCACTAATTTTACCAGTTACCACCTGAAGAGGAAAGCACTATTTTACAGTCTTATGTTCTGAATATATATTATGTTTTTTATGAATTGATAGTAATGAGATGTTAAAGATGCATTACAGATTTTTTACAATATGTTTTGTCGCTACCATACTCACCAGAAATCATCAAATGTGTTTTTTATCCTAAATTTATTCTTTACAGCCTGATGCATGCTATGAGAGGATACTTACACTTTATGAGACCCAACCTACAGGGAACCAAGTGTAAGATGTTTTTTAGTATTCTAACAACTTATAGAAATGTACTACTCAGGAAAACGTAGTTCTTTTTCATGCAATCCCAACTGCCTCCCTATATCACTTGAAACCTCACACTACCTTGTGACAGTATATCTCACTCATACTCATCTCTAATTCCTCTGAACTTGTCGTAGATTTTTCACATTCTTTTTCTGGTAAATGCAAATTACTAGGTAGTAATAATAATGTATAATAAATATAAATAATTTTTTTTTAAGTCATTAGATATGTGTAACAGTACATGTTGAGATCTGCAACTCACTGTGGCATTTATTGCACAGCATTTGTGCAGTCTTCAATCAATCATCACAGTAAATTTTTGAATTCTCACACTATTTCTGTTTGTGGTTTTTTTTTCTACAGAGTACAATTTCATGATTTAAAAAAGGACAGAAAAAATGAGTTTAAAGTAGTGCATAATATGGCAATGATGAAAAACCAGGTATTTGTATGTAGCAGGCTGGTTGAACCTAGTTAAAATTCATAATGTTTTCACATTTACTCAAAGCTGATTCCTACATTGTTTTTTAGCTTGAAAATTTTGCGGAATTTCACCCGTTCTCTATCATATTTTAGGCTACTTGAAGTGACAAAACTTACCAAATAGTTGAAAAAACAGAATTATATATAAAAGATCATGATAAATTTAAATGTAAAATGGCCAATGGACATCAAAGATGTTTTTACTTCTTAAATTTAAGAATGAATGAATTACTTTTTGTTGTTGTTGCTCATTAGAAAATAACAGGCCTTCTTTGGAGTCCACATAAAGAAACAAAGAACATGTATATGTATCCTTTGTAGAGAAATAACTTGTAACTGTTTGTCTCAAATGTAGGACAAATAAAAGTGTCTCTGGTTGAGTCAGGTTAACCCCTGAGAGTTTTAACCCCACTGAGGTTCTTTGTCAAATGAACTGAGAAGAACTTAAGTAGTTAGGCCATACATATATCATTCTGCATGGTAACTACATGACAAGTGCCTGTAAACTGCTAACAGTGGGCAACATTAAAAAAGTCCTTTATAAAAATTGGCAGGTGAAACAATATCCACTGAAAATTAACTATTTATTTTGAGCATGTTTATCAAATGATTGAAGATGTTACCAATCAGTCACAAGCATAGGAAAAATGTTGTTCAGTTGAGGAACTGTTTTACAAAGATGAAGGACTTAACTGAAGGAGGGAATTCAAAGAGTTATCTGGCATTGTTTTTACATATATCTTTCATTTTCATATCTCTAGTGAACTGTTTTACCCTGTTACTGAGCTAATTTCAGTTGTAGTCTGTGATAGTGTGGATTTCAAGTGTGAAGTTATTTCTCTAACGGTATAATTTACAGAGTATCTTTACTTGGTTATGGAAATATGTCTGGGGAAACCATGATTTTTACAGTGGAAGGTGCTTCACAACGTAAGTGTTTGCCTTTTACAATGAGATTAAATCTGACCTTTTTGAAACATTTAATGTTTTAATCTGAGAATAATTTCCAGTAATAGCTGCTAAACATGTTTTGGAGGTTTTCAGCTCTAGATTTATTATAAGCACATAACTGTAGCTTAGAAAAACTTGGTATTGTTGCTCTGGTTTTACACAGGGATAGTTGGTAGAACTTCAGTACAAGGGAATTCAGTGTGGGCTAATTCATGGAACAGAAACCCTTTGTATAGTAACATGATCAGTATTGGTGAGTGATAATTGTTTATAATAACTTACAACAATTATTTATAATAAAATTATCTTGTAGTCAGCACAATAAGCAGAAAATATTGAGTTTGGTTTCTTTGCTTCTTTTCTTTGCTCTCTTTTTGATAATTGACAAAATGGTGAAAAGACAGACGACCTGCTGACTTTCACTGATTCTGATGAATGTTTGAACCCTTTCACTCCCAAGATCTAAACATTAATTCTCTATACCATTCCTCATATGTTGCTTATGATTCTAGTTCTGTGATTTTGATGTAAAATGAAACAAAATTCCTTTCTTGATATTTTTTTTCTTCTCATTACATTTCTGCTCAAAAGTGTATAGATATCAAAAGGAGAAATTCATTTTTGGTCACTCCTGAGAGCAAAAGTATTGATTGGTTGACTATCTAACCAAATACCACTGGACTACCTAAGGAAGGAAAGATGAATGACTGGACTGGCTGGTCAACTGTTTGACTGACTGACTTAGGCTGTCCAAATGATTGACTGAAAAATCCACTGACTGTCCTGTCTTACTGACTGACTGATTGACTTCCTGTCTGTCTGACCAGTCAACCAATAGACCACCCTGTCTGACTGATTGATTGATTGATTGATCAATTGAGTCACTCACTAATCATTTGTATAATCAATTAACCAACTGAATTAGTAAATGATTGACTTTGACAGACTGAGCGACTCAGTATTGATTGAATGACTGATGGACTGACTGACCTACTGGCACACTGATTGACTGACAGTCTGACTTATCAACTGACTGACATTCATTTGTATTGACAGATTGAGTGACTGATAGATAATTGACTGGTTGAGTATTATACCAACTGGCTGTCCAACTCACCAACAGACTCAGCACCTGACTGATTAACAAGATAACTGACCAGTTCTATAAGCTTAATAAAATATATTCCTTCCTTTTCCCTCCCAAACATAGAATTAAACCTATGGATGATATTTTTCCCCCTAGGAGCAAGTAAGGTAGCTCTAACATTTGATGTATCCATGAAGAGACGTGTGATACATGTTAAGTGTCAAAGTGCTGTGCTTGCTCAGGAGTTCTCATGGAGTGTAAGTTGATGTTGCAAAATTTGTGCAGGTTTTATGACATGATAATAATTATAGGGTGTGTGTTGTCTTCTCTAATTATTTAATAGCTCCATACTTCTTGTTGCTCAAGATATTCTTCCTTGTTGATTTTTTCCCCCAGAATCCTGTTCTCTATAATGGCTCACGTGATGGTTGCATACGTACATGCGATGTGCGTGTGATTGGTCCCAAATGGCCAGTAATGCGTCTTAATCAAGGAGAGCTGGCATCGATCACATGCCTACGGGTTTTGCATAATGAAAACTACCTGTTGGCCAGTGGTTTAGATGGATCGGTAAGGATTGACTGAGAAATGAGACCTAGGGCGTAAGAAATGTTAACTCTTTGAGCCCCAAGAGTGACCAGCATCTAATTTCTCCTTACAATATCACCTCTACATCACACATTAAGGTCACAAGAATAAAGGAAACAATCACCAACTTGAGGAGCTCTTGATTGTTAAACAAATTCTCCTAGTCAGTATATTAGGAAAAGGTGTAGAAAATAGTACAGAGAATATGCATACTGATGTTGTGGTGTAAAGGGTTAAGAGTCATTGTAAGATGCAAATAGAGTTCCTTCTCAGTTGTTGTTTGTTTTTTCCTTTGGCCTTCATATTAGCTGGCTCACACTTCAATTTAGCAAATTCTTCCTTGAGCAACAAAATCTTGTAAAGAAAGAGTAGAAATGCACCTCATACAGTAGAGGCAATGACTTGTTTAAAAACATCAGAATTGTTGTTTCCACTATGTGTTGACCTTTTAATCACAACTGTGCACACAAATTACAGCTGTAATCACTTTAGTTGAGAAATATAGTTAGCATATTGTGAACCAAGCTTAAATTATGTCAGTAATGAATGCAAACATTTATTCTTGAGAAACCTTTTTACATGCACTTTGAGACTATAAATTCTAACCATTAGCTGTAAGAGAGAAGTCTTTTTGCCTAGAATTTTTGTGGCAATCTAACTTTGTCTCAGAAAGCTACATCCTTTTTTTTGTTCAGCTGAAGTTGTGGGACATAAGAGCTAAGGCCTGTGTGCAAGATTATAGTGGGCACATAAATGAGATCACACATGGGCTACGCTTCTATGTGGACCCAACTGACTCATTGATTTTTGCTGGTAAGCTTGATCACTTCCTCATTGCACTCATTTCTGAAAAGTACATGACTTGTATGAAATTTTCTTTAGATGGACTTGGACCAGATTATGTTCAAATCAAATTTAAAAAGAATGGCTATTAACACTCAGAACACTCTAATTAAAAGTAGTTGCTGATTAATATAACTGATGTTCGTTCAGATGCCAAAAAGCAATCCCAACTGATCCATTTTGAGTTTGGTAAATTGGACCTTCAAGAAAATGAAAATTATATTTTTTGGGCCCTGTGTTACCTTACTATTGAGTTTTAAAGTTTTAAGGAAAGGTATGTTCCAGATTGAAAATGAGATTATTTTTAGCTTCACCGTTTAAAAGTGTGATGATAGTATGTGAAAATGAAAGCCACTGCAGTTTAAGCTTCTAAATTTAAAGTAATCTAATCTTTAAAAGTCATCTTCCAATGTGTTAAAACATACATCATGGATTCCATTACTTTGAACCCAGCTGATAGTTCAGAAAATTTATGATCTTCAGCTTGACTGATTAGCTTTTAGATCATGGGAGCAAAAGCAATAAGGCTTGAGAATTTATCTATGAAAAGTGTTTTTCTTGACACTTAATTGCAGCGGGACAAGATTCAGTGACACGCATCTGGAGTATTGGAAGTGGTAAACTACTTCACACAATTCCATTTCCTGCCACTGTGAACAGATCTCTCAGCCCCATCCCAGCTCTGTACTACTCAGAGGAATGGGGTGGTAAGGGAGGCATGCCAGGTCTCCTGTATGGTGCTGGTGATTCTATTTATTCATATTCCTACTGAGGAGTAGGGAGGGTGGCACTACCAGTGTACCATAGCATGGTGGTGGTGATTGAAAGGATTAGTAGTGGAGTGAAGAGATGGCGGGGAGATGTCTGCTTTCTTCTGGTCAAGGGAGAGGTACATTTGGTAAAATGATCCACCTATATCAGAAAAAGTTGATTAAAAACAATTTTTTGACAATTAGATGACATATAGATCTGGAAGTCCATCTTACATTGACTGCTTGACAAGTGAATTTAAAGAAAAGTCATATGGTTGGGCAAGATGTGAGTCCTTCAAAAGAGAAAGGTGCAGGAAAATTTTCACAAAAATGGAAGCCTTTCATTGTAGGATGGCTGTTTCAGTAATGGGTCAAATCAATAGAATTTAATGTGTGGTTTCATTGATAAGTAAACTAACCCTAGGATAAGTAAGATTTCAAATACCATTGACTCTGTGAAATTGAATTCAATAAACTTCGCATTTCTTAAAGAACTCTACTAGTGTGAAATACCAATTTTAAAAGTTTGTTGGAAAATGGGTGGCCCAGTGGTCACACACTGGGATCAAGGTCAAGAGATCAGGGGTCAAGCCTAGTGGGGTCAACATATGGGAAAGAAGACATTTTACCCTCAAAACTGTGCCTCTGTTTACCCTGGAGTATAGATGGGTACCAACAATCTGTTGGGAACTCCAACTGATGCAATGCTATAGGTGTAAGCTGTAAATGGACCAATGTCTCATTCACATAGAGTATCTACAGTTGTTTCATGATGTGGAAGTCAAGATAAGCCGGGGTAATGTGGGTCACTGCTAAGGCTCAAAAGCAAACTTCACTTTTTTCTTAACCTCTTATGAACAAGCCCAGTCAGTTCACAGGCAAATAAAAAGAACTGCGTGTCATTAAGCTTTATAGTTCATGCACTGTTTTGAAACAAAGATAGTCTCTTGATGATAGTCACACTTTTAATTCATTTTATATCTCTCAGTTTACAAAAATTAAAAAAAAAAAATATGCCCAACTTCTTTTAGCGAGAGTTAGTAAGTCCTAACTCCATATACTATAGTCTACATGCTGCACATTAATCGTTTGCTGTCACATTTGGTACTCAACAAGTTGATAACAGAAAGAGAAAGGTGCTATAAAACTCTTTCCTTAAAAAGGTTCTCAAGGGGTGTCTGAAATAAATTGAAATTATGAAATTAAGCTTGCAGTGTATCATGCACCCAGTCTCTGATGTGACCACCAGGAGAAATAACTAATGTTGATGGCTGTTACATTGTGAATGTCCAAGCATGAACATTATGACTGTTTTCAGAGTTTCCAGTCAGACCTTGTTGGTGTCTTTGATACATGCCTCCATGCTGAAGGACAAAACACTCTGAAGTGAGTATCTCCAAGGGAAATATGTCTGACTAAGACTTAAACATTGACCTATTTTCTTAAAGATACTATTGAATTAAAAAAAAGCCCCTAAAATATGAATATCCTAAAAAATCCTAATAAAAGCCCCTAAAATGTATCTCCAAAAGAATAACTCAATGACTAAGTTTTCGCTTATTTCCTGAGAAGATTCTTGCTTTAGAGTGTTTTGTCTTTCAACATGGAGGCATGCATTGGAGACAGGAAAAGGGAATGACAAGAAACACCTAAAAACTGATAAGATCAAACGGTGACACTGAAAACTCTTAACTTACTCCAAAGCACTACCTTTACCAACAAGTACCAATTGTGACAACTATCAAACACTATGCCACAGCTTGCCAACTGATCTGCCATGGGCGGCATGCAACATTAGTGATGCAGTATACAGAAAATTTAAGGAAATAATTGTTGGCAACTGTTTACAAAATATAACGAAATGAAAAGAAAATAAGAAATATTTCCCTCCCTTCCCTGACATGATATAATAAAGTTTACAGATTATTTTAGGAATTACTCAAATGTGACTTTTTACAAAATATGTGAAACAAAAAGACAATGAAAAAACATTCCCTCCCCTCAAGCTCCCTGGCATGGTATAATAAAGTGTAACAACAAATGAGTATTTGAAATGAAGACAATAAGAAACATTTCACCCATAACAGTATCTGAAGTTGCTAATACCAATATCGCAAAACAGTGTCTGGAATGCCTAAAACAGAAAAAACAAAAAATTGACATCAATTGAAATATGCGCTTAATTAAAATTATAACATTATGCAAATTACATGCTGATTGGAGAAACTTCCCAGGTATTATGGATCTTAACCCTTTCACTCCCAAGATATCATAAGTATAAATTCCCTTGACTGTGTGCCATACAATTTTTATGATGCTAGTTGGTATTGGATTGTCTAGTACATCACCCAATTGATACATTTCCTCATTCTCGTCACTTGTCTGCTTGATATTGTTTTGATATTGTAAGGAGAAATTCTGTCTTGGTCACTCATGGGTGTTAAAGGGTTAAAGCATTTTCCACTTTTTCTTCAGTATAACCCCTAATTATACCTGTTAGAATTTCCACTCACTAATTAAATGCTGTGGAGTGGTAAGAGTGAGAGAGTTAAACTTAAATGTCACTGTTGTGACATTAAGCTGTTTGAGAACACAATAGAGCTCATGTATTTGTAACATTGTTTGTTGCAATACTTACTGTGGAACCAGACAAGTTCACAAATGTCATTTACCAAAGAAATCTTCCGTTTCATGTCATTCCTGCATAAAAATTATGACCAATTAGAAAACTACATTTGATATTCTATTCACCAATAGTTCACAACACAAATCTATAATTATCAATCTTTAAGTCGCTTATTTAATCTTCCAAAGTTTGGGTTCTTTATGTTGATGGAAATCAGATTAACATTACCTTTTGAAACATACATTACATTTGAAAAAATCTTTAAATACACCCAGCGACCATTCTTGTTAGTTTTAAGAACTCAAATGAAGTGCTGTTACTTTTAATTAACAGCTAGTGGAAACTGAGGAGCTTTGATCTGCCAAGCCATTCAGTTTTAATTTAATCAAGGTTAGATTACATTGGATATCAAGCAGTATCATGTATTACTAACATAAATGGAAATACATAATTTGCTCTTTATACTCACTGCATAAACAGCTTTGAAAGCTTGAAAACACATTTCAGGGTTAGTTTGGCCCTTAAGATGATGCAACTTTTCAGATCTTTGCTGAACCTTAAAAAGAAAAAATATAAAAAAGTACATTTTGATCCAGTAATCAGGTGTTAAAGATAGAAAAAGTCATCAGCTAAAAGGAGCTATTTTTTTTTAAAGTTATAAAACACTAAATTGTTTTATACATCTGACTCAATCTTCTCTAACCTTGCCTTCAGGAGGTGGTAGAATTTCTTCGCCAAATGAATTGAGCCAAGCTTTGATCCATCATCCCCTCCATGGATAATTATGGTAAACTTGTCTGTGGCAAGATTGTCTTTAATGTACTTTTCTACGTTTCTAAATTCAGTGACAGGGTAAAGTTAATTAAAGATAAAAGTGTTACTTATTGGCAATAGGAGATGCAAAATCTTTGAATGCAGGAAACAGAAATAGAGACATCTCTATAAAATATTCCCTGTATTTCATACTTGACAGGCCAGCCTAACTAATGTGCATCCTATTTCTCCTGTGTTGTTAAGGACCAAAGCAAATAAACAACTATCACCTTTGACACTTCCTTTTAACCCTATAACTCTCAGATCAAATTTGTAATTCTCCTTAGTGTCAACCATACAATTCTTATAACATTAGTTCAGAGAATTTAGTATTAGATCAACTAATTATCCTCAAATTGATATTTTTCTTTATTCTCATTACTTATCTGGTTGATATTATATTAATATTGTAAGGAGAAATTCTGTCTTGGTCACTCATGGGAGTTAAAGGGTTAACATACAGAAAGCCTCACTCACATGCACAGATTGTTGGCAAGGGCCTTTGATTTTGACCCTGAGGAAAATTTTGATACCAAAGGTACTTCCTTGGTGTTCAACAGAAAAATGTTATCTCCCACCTCATCACAGTGCTCTAATAAACAAAATAATAAACATATTTCAGAAAAGAATGAAATGCCAGATAACTATGTAACAATACCATACATTTATACCAAACAAATACAGTAGCCACATTATTTGTTTGAAAGCAAAGTTCTGCTCAAATTGTTATTTTTAGTAGCAATTTGGATCACAACTTGACTTTACGCAAAACCTTACAATCAAGGTTTTCTTGAAAAAGAAAAAAAGTAACAACAAAGCCAAGCCATAAGAGAGATTTTAACAGTAGCTTCCATTTTGATTAAAATATACAAATTTAGGAGTGATTTCAATCATAGAACTTATTGTTTACTAAACCTGAAACAAACTTACAGGTAAATTAGAATTAAGCCATCGTGATCTAATCACTTACCACTTTTTGTGATGAAAGTGCTGACATTCATGTCACTGGTAAGATGGGGTTGATCTTCAAAGGCCACTTTATGGGGTTGCGTTTCTGACCAAAATAAAAAGCATTGTTGATGATTTGTATTCCCCTTTTGATTCCCCAGTTAATCATCGAAAAAAAAATTGGGATTAACTGATGTATACCTTATTTCCCTATGCCCACACTCTAATAAGCACCTTCTGCCAAGCAAGCCCCCCCCCCCCCCCCCCCGCCAAAATGTCAAACAAGCATCCCTTTGAATAAGCACCCCCCTCCTCCCTCACTTTTTAAAATGACCCTAAGCACAATAGGATGCTGTTGTCCTGATTAGTTCAACCAGCTGCTAGTTATAGCCAGTTATTTGCAAGATGCAGGTTTACCTTTCAGTTTGTCATCTGTCACTGGTGCAACTGCTGAAGACTTTCGGTGTTGTTTGAACCGGCCAAATCTCTATTCATGATGAAATAAAATGATAATGAAAGATCAATAATGATAGCTAATGATTAACCATGTTTGTTCAAAAGGAAATCAATTGAACCTCAGAGCTGGTGTACTTGATTACAAAAGCTACTTACCTTTTTCTTATTACCAGCCTTAGGTAATGATGGACACTCTTGTTCATCCTTGGACGAATCAAGGGAGGAATCAAGGAAGGAATCAGAGCTCAAGTCCTCGATGGGCACTGTATGGAGAGGTGAAATAAGGTCTCAGTTGGTCAGGAATTTGTTATGTAGACAGCATAGTGTAAATGTGTGAATAGTCAAGGAAAATTCCTTGATTACTCCACATAAAAAAACACTACCTAATTTTCACTGGTGTTGAGATAAATAGATCTAGTCTACAGAAGTGTAATAATTGCAACTGGGTTTTATTAATTATGACTCAAGTTGTGCATTACCATGGCTTGCTGTGTGCAGCAAAGTGTGCAGGTATCTCCACAAATTGGCTGATGGTCTACTTCATCCACAGGTTAGAATGTTACTATATAATTTCAAGTTGATTGTTCTCATATTCCTTTGCCAGGAATACAGAACCTACTAAAATTTGCCTTGCTCTAAGCATATCAACTTAATCCTCAGTCGGCAGGTGAGTGTGACTTAAGTATCAAGGAGTCACAGGTTCAAATCTTAATTGTTACACCACGCTAAAGACAAGGCTTCTTAATTTTTTAATTGCTTTAATTGCAAGGATTGTTTTTACAAATAAGAAAAATATGCAAACCAATCCTCTTAGTCATAGTTATACATAATCTCTGTCTCACAATCAATCATTGTAACGCTCACCTAAAATACAGAAGTTGATAACTCCATGTACAGAAACAACACTGGAACTGTAGTTATAACAGACAGATTAAACATCCCTTGCATAAACAACCTTGCACTTATGCTTACTGCTATGAAGGGATTACCTTGGGCAAGCTTCACAGATGACTCCAAGGTATGCCCAGTTGGGCTATCTTTCTCCTGGCTGTCCAAAGTAAAGCTGTCATCTGCAGTACATTTACTAGTGTCTTCCTCAGTAGTACAGCCTTGCTCAGATTTAGTGCAATCCAAAATAACTTTCTCTGTTGAACCAGGGCTTAACGCTTTAATTGCAACATCCTTTGAACTTGATGCCAAGTGATTGCCTTGGAGTATTTTAATGTCATTGGAGTCTGTAATCTGAGAAGTTTGCCCAGCTTTCTCTAGGAAATGCTTTCTAGGGCTATCTGGTTGCTGGCTCTCCAAAGTAGAGCTGTCATTTTCAGGAGTAGATCTATTCTCAGAAGCATCACCAGATTGTGTGGTTTCACTTGAAAAATATCTGTCTGTCCCCTCAGGGCTCGTCACCCTTAGGACAAGACCATGTAAGCTTGATGCAGCTGTGTGGATAATGTTATCAATAAACAAATCAAGCTGTTCTTCATCAATGTCAATTGACTCTGGGGAATACCCAGTACCAACAGTATTCTGAAAGAAATAATAAGTGCAAGATCACCAACGAATTTGCTTATTATTTAAAATTATACTCTTATTGAAATCAATTTATAAAAACAGTGATAGAAGTAATTTTATGGCCATTGCTTTTGACACAAGTACTGCCCAGAGTGAAGTAAAAACACACTATAAAGGGGTAAGTTTCTAAAGAAACTGTGGTGCTGCTTCGGTGGGAGAGTATAAAAACACACTAATTTGACAATATTTCAATGAAAAAGATAAACTTTGTAGAGACTTTTCTATGGGAAGTAGCACACAAGCAGTTTGATGCAGCTGACTGAATTACATCATTGATGAAAAACAACTTGACCTTTACATTGAAAATGATTTTCAATTTAAAGGTCGAGCTGTTTTTTATCAATGTTTATCGACTCCTGAGAACACCTGGAACCAACTGAATTCTGAAAGCAATAATCAGCAGAAAGATATACAAGCTTAGAAATTGTGCAAGATCGTGACTAACAAATTTACTTCATTGCTGTAATATTCTTAATGAAATTAAATTAATGTAATTATTTATAGAAAGAATTTCGTGACCATCTCTTGATAAATAAATTGCTTGGAGCGAAAGCATTAAGAACTTAATTAACTCTAATTTGGAACAACATTTGAAGCCAGTCTGAAGACTCAAGCATCTACACAGAAAAGTTTTACTTCCAAATTGTATATTGTGCCTTGGAAGTTGAGGTAGCCTGACACATGCACTCGAGATCTAAATGGGTCCAGTTAAAATTCTGCTAAAGGAGAAAGCGACAAAAAATAGTGCGCCATATTATAGCGAATGTGTAGAAAAAATTAACACGCTCGTTCCTTTAGAGTTCTCTTTCCCGTTTTTAGACTGTGATACGCTAATTTCAATGCAGTATCCTTCTTTTTTCATAAATCTACAAGCAAATGAAGAAAAACACGAAGACAAAGAAGCCCAACAAAACATATCCTTCCTGAAAACATTCCGGTGCTAGAATTCGCTCGAGTCATTTGTAGTTATAGTTTTAACATGCTTCTACTCCCACAGACAAATACATTCTTCTACGGAAATTGCGTCGTAAGAAAGCCTTGCATGTAAGTTCTTTTAGCTTGTGATACAGTTCCACTTTTAATGAATTATGATACAAAAATTTCTAGATTGACATCGACTGGGTCAAAACTGAAGTTTCGATGATAACTCTGTGTTTTTGTGACTTGAGCCCTAGTTCCCGCGTAAGAATTCAAGAAGTCTTTTAGATTCAAATGAAAGAATTTGTGCGTGGCTTACAGCCTTGTACTACCACACTACGTCAGTTGCTGACTAACGTCAAAGTCAAAGACGAACCGAGGAACAGACAGGGAGCAGTATATAAGATTAGTTGCTCCGACTGCCACGCCTCATACATCGGTGAAACTGGCAGAAACCTCACAACTAGACTGACTGAACACAAATAAGCGACGAGGAAAGGCGATGTCATCAATCACATTGCTGAACATCACCGACTTACGAACCACACTATTGACGGGGACTCTCCGCAATGCCTAACCTACAGCACCACCTACTTTCAACGACTGACCCAGGAAAGCTGGTTTACTAACTTGGAAAAGACTCCCCTCAACAGGTGTCAACCATTACCGGCACCATACAAACGACTCATTCACGACATAAACATTACAAACGAACCGAATAGAGTGACCTAAGTTTACTAACGGATCGATACCAACCAATCACGACTGACTTACGCCTATTGAGTCTTACAGCTAATAACAATCAGTTTATACAAATCGGATTAAGTACATTCGACTGACAACAACTATTGACTTGACTACTTCCGCTCAGGTTGTCGAAAAGTTAGTCAGCACTACCGACAACAGTCCTTCTAAGGACTACACTCACCCGGACGATCAAACTACACTATTACAGTCCTTATAAGGTTGTCATTACAATCAGCGGTCTGTTACTGGATGATTTAGTGACGTAATCAATAGATAACTAGTTGAAATTTCACATTTTTGCAAAAAATCGAAAAAGGTATATCAAACAAACAAAAAATATGTTAAACGTAGAATTATTTTCTCAAAAAACCTTGTGCCTTGCTCGTTAATATATTTTCCCCCAGTTTATCAGCGCGCTTAAAAATAAGATATCATTGTACGCTAATGAACAACCGAAATTGTTTTCCAATCGTATTCAGGAATAATTACGGCATAAAACGTTTTCCAGAGTCCTCTTCTGCCTTAGAAAATTCTTTTTCTCTCCTTTGTCAACACTTACCTGGTTATTTAACGATTTGCCATAAATGTTAGATCACTGAATCCGGCCCAGATTAATCTGCCACTTGAGGATGAAGCGCGCGCGCATTATATCTCCATTTCGGTCTTGCAAAGATTTATGAATTTTCGTTTGTAACACAAAAATCTCTACTCCAGTTGATGAGAACTTTCAATGTGCGACCTATCTGCGCAAAAGTCTGAAATTTTTGAGGCCCCGATTTGAAATGCCCTTGCCATTCATCCTTTTGGTCAAACGACGAGTCCACCCTAAGCGCTGAGATTCCGTCGAAATCTGAGAATCTGCTGTCGTGTTATCCTTTCCTTCCTTTTTTTATTTGCAAAGGACGTATTCCAAATTCGGAAACTTGTGCGCTGTGATTTGACACGTTTAGCTTTCCATTAGTAACCCCAAAATTTAATGAAAAAAAAATTAAATGAGATTTCCTTCGCGCTTCGTTCAAGACTTTTTCCTTTCCAACCGGCCTCGCTTAATTCCGTGCGCAGAATGCGTTTCAAATGTTCCCATTTGTCCAGGAAGTGTTGCAACTGTAATGTAGTCTATAAATAGTGTTGAAAACATTTGCGAGATGCCTCCGTCAACAAAAAACAGAGCAAAGCGATTGCAAAGAAAGAACTGAAACCACCGTTCGAAACTTTGATTTTATTTCTGTTTTGACATTACTTATAGCTAATCCTTTACCCGTATTAAATAATTTATTTTTGGCGTCACATTTTCTTTTGCTCTCCTCTGGTCTTTAATTCCCTCACTCTATCAGTTTTCATCTTCTTTCAGTACAGTCATCTTCTTCTCACATCATACCACTAAACTTATGGGCGGCTGAAGCCCGAAGACTTGGCACCCGAAAAAATCCGAACTTATGCAACGACTCATCGCTAGGACACCTTCCAAACGCCCTCAGTTACGAGGTAAGAAACAAGAAAAGGCACTTACCTCAAAAGCTTTTGATGTATTCGCTTCTTCCATTTTCTCCATGAACTTTGACTTTATCCTCTTAAACGAACTGAACTCTAACCCACGGAAAGAGAGAATGGTGGAGAGAAGTTTGCGCACACCGCAATGACGTAACAGACGAGATAATTACTATACGTAATATCTGCCACCTACCCAGGCGCCTTTGCGCTGGTTTGGAAATAGCGTGGGAAACTGAGGAAAACGCCCTTTGCGCGGACCACCCTCTGGCCACAAAGAGTCTCATAAACGTTTGAGCATAGACCGTTCCACGCTCTCTCGGTCAGCCGAAGCTGTTACAAAAACGGGTGGACGAGCCAGTGGCTTCGCTTGCCACGGGGCTTTTTTAATGGTCTCCACTGACTTAGAAATTGGCATAAGCTTCATCGCAAACGGAAGGTCGGGAAAGATCCGGAGCTTGTGGGAAGTATTGATAAAAGGAGGACGCTCTACCAGTATAAACCAGCTTAGAACTGCTCGAAAGTGCTCCGTTTTGTAGCTAACACTTGAACTCTGAAATTCCGCTTCGTGGCATGGAACATCCCAAGCGCTGACCAAACCTGAATTGTAGAATAAAATTCACGGCGCGTTCTGATCCAATTTTTTAGCAAACTATTTCAAGAGTGTAACACGCCGCAAGCAGCACTGACTAAGAACAATATACATTTGAAAAAAAAGACATGAGTATTTTCATCCAAACTGTGAACCTTTTCCCTGAAGGAAAAAGAAATGGGACCAGCCTCGGCCTTTATTACAGAGCCGACCGTCCTCCTGTGAATGCTGTGATTCGATAGCTTACGGTCTTTAATTTGCCACCGAAAGAGACATATTCTACCAAAGCAGTGAAATTTCTGATAAAGCTAACTGAATTAATCAACTTGTCCAATTTTCTGGTAATTTCGGTAAAGACGATATGTATACTTTCGATATTATACTTTCGGTTCAATTTTTTTTTCTCATCTTTTCTTTTTTTCCTTCTTTTTATCTTTCTTTCTTGAGAAAAGCGATTGCATCTTGTTTTCTGCCAAAAATACCGCGTTCAATTTAAAGATTAAGAGTAGCCTTTACCACATAGTAACCATTGTAGCCGGTTACACCTGTTGTTGATCCTGAGCAGATAATAGCAGACATTTTGAATCCTTTGCGGCGAACCGTCAATCCTAAATTGACGTCAGCATAACCAACATGGCCGCCGCAAATTCTGCCCAAACGGTTTTTTATTATTTATTGAATAATGCATAGGAGCGTTTTCTGTTTCCTTTGGACTGCGCGGGAGGTTCAGGAAGCAGAGCAGAAAAAATACATATCTTGTCCGTTTTGTTCGTTTCTTTGTTTGTTTGCTTTGCTTAAACTCATTGACCTTGCATTCGTAACTCCCGCCTGGCAAACAAACAAACAAAAAAAGAATGAAAAAAATACAAAAATTGAAAGTAAATACGGCTGGCGTGCAAGCGATCTGCTCAGGTGTGAATGAAAGGGTAATGTACGTAAAAAAAGATCGTAATTCACGGGTCTGCTGAGAACTCAAAGAAAAAGGTGAAAATGTATCGAAAAAAGCCATCGTGTGTTCGAAATAAGCTCACAAGAAGACCGTCAACAAACGATTTTACTTCCTCAGAGAGGAATGACAGCTGAATGCTATATTTAAGATACTGCATGTGTTAGTGAAAGCATTAATTAGCAGTCAAAGAAAACGAAAAATTTTATTGTGAATCTGTGCTGATTCCTTTAAAAAAACTTTCATTAGTGAAATTTACTTGAACAAAGATAATAGTTATGTAATAACGATATATATGCCAGACAACATGATGAACAATTTTAATGTGCTTCTTGAATAGCTCCGAGCTTGATCTTTTTTTTTCTCCCCTTTTGATGAATGAAAATGGGAGACAATTCCGAATCTCGATCGCCGCAAAATTTCACGTTTTTCGATAAATTGTAATTTGGGTCATATATCACCAAAACAATTGGACTAAAACAAATTTTGCTTCAAGCGCTCACTACATTCAGTTGTTGGTTACATCGGCAGAAAGTGAATCAATAGACTTTGCGTGCTTGAAAGTGTCAAAGCTTCGTAACAATCGATCACATGTGTCAAAGCATTACTGAAAGTGACATTTACATTCATCCACATCACTTGTCTTTTCTATTTGTTTATGTCAAGTATAAATTTTTGTAAAAGCAAATAAATGGGTCTCTAACCTAACACAAAATACTAGAATATACTGATGTAGCTCTAAGTGGAATTTCTTGGGAGTTTACAACAGGGATTCGCGTTGTATACGGTATGAGGGCATACGTTTTGACATTTTGATTGCTACGTTGACACACGGGAAGAGAACGTGTGACATAAAGCTACATATCAGCAAGGCTACCACCGAAAAGTGCTATGAAATCGCGGATCGAAAGGAATTAATTTAAATAATTTCGAACAGATTTCAGTTAAATACCGACCTAACTGATGTTGGAACCGACCCATGGAACAGAGGTCGCCACGGCTTTGGTTAGAGTTGTAGTAATCGATTGTTTCAGTTTCTACCGTGTGTTGCAACTCGAAATTTGCCTCTCGTCAAGCGAATCAACAGTGCCTAATTTCAATCAAGAATGGGAAACACACGCATCGATAAGACAGGATAAGCCATCTTCAAACGAACTCGCGTGCACTGGAGTAAACAGAAGCGATATTTCTGTCGAAAATTTCTCAGAACCAAGATAATATCCGTTGGAACTCAGTCAGCCGATCACACATTCCACTCGGCCATGCAATGCGATGAGCGACCGTCGAAAAACATGGAGGTCGACGTCTACGACGGGCGCATTCGTGGAAGAAATTCTTCACAAGTATAATTGCTATTCGGAAACCGATAATTTCTTCTCAAGAATGTCTAGTCAAGCCTTGGCCGATCGAATAGCGTCATTGAAAGGACACGTTTTCTCGAGTACAAACAGTCATTCCGACAACTGCGATCAAACCAATAACTGCGAAGGAGGCGAAATTGACTTATCAAATAATACCCCTCCCTTGAGGCAGCGTATGTTAACTTATGCTGATGCAGAAAACAATCAAAGCACCCTTCAGGCCGACTCAAGCAAGTCTGTTAAGGAAAGCGATCAGCGTGGACAAACTAAACCAAGTTATTGCGCTTCGAATACGAAAACCAACGAAGACATTTTGGATCTCAGTGCAGAAATCAACTCAAATTTGGCGCTCACGAGTAGAACTCTCCCGGGGGATGGTGAATTTGGATTGTCGACTCGATCGTCAGCTTCGAGTTCCTGCGATAAAACAGATGATAACGAGGATGTAATTTGCTTAGATCACTCTAACCTGTTAGTGACGACCCCGGTAGTTGTAATAACGCCGGCTGTTATGGAGGAGTGTGTGGATGAAGGGAAAACCATCGCTATGGTGGATACGAATGGTGATCTTTCTGCCACCATGTTGGCAAAAGATTCCACTGATACTTGCTCTTTGTCAAGTTACGGTTCTTGCTCGGAAAACGAGATCCTTACCGACGATGAACCATCAGACGATGAAATGAGACAACCATTGGAAGACAAATCTGATAAGGTACCAAAACAAAACTCAAACTTGTTGAAAATTCAGTTACTTTATTTACCAAGTTTACTAATTTTTGCAATTCGCTCATGTTGCCTTGCTTGCACAATTATTGTGAATTTTGCCGGTTTGTTTAATTGTTTTGTTCACAGGTTAGAAATTTGAATGAAATACTCTCATCATCCGTTTAAATAAGGTCTCTTTTGATTTCATAAAATAGTGACCGTTTACTTAGAGTATTTCAGTGTTTATTTGCTTTGGCAGCACTGCGGATAAGGAAGGCTTCTTTTGTTGATGTTTCTTATGAAATATGTTTATCTCAGTAAGCATTTCCTGAATATTATTATTATTACTTCAAAGTGGCCAAAATTTCTCTTCGAAATGGCTTCTAGTTTGTTTTGACCTCAATTGCGTATTTTGACTTAGCTGCGTTCAGTAGGGCTTTCCTTAGCAACCCCAGATTTCACATATATAATTTTTTAACTTCTACCGTAGACATTTGCAATGGGATGGTAAGAAACGTTTGTCAATTTATTTATTTCCAACCGCCGCAGGGTTGGTCACGATCATTTGTCATTAGCTGCGATTGACGTCATTTACCACTTGGTTGGAAACTTTTGGCTCGCCAACTAATCGTTCTCGATCTATAATTAAATGAAATATTTTGAAGCAAAACTTCTCAAAGAGCGATATGAAATGTAAATACAGTTCAGTTTACCCAAGCCTCTTGATCGTGCTTTCCTAAGGATTTTCGCACTGTGTTAAAATCTCATTTCTCCATCGGTTATCGGTTACAAAGTAAAGCACCTTGAGGGAACGATTACAGAAAATCATTATATTATACGAGTTTGAACTATTCCAATGTTTTAAATTTGAACATTTCTGTGAACAATACAAAGGTATGCATAGCCAATGATTTTGGATATTCTGTATGCCCTTGATTTTCGCTTTATTTAAGTACAGCACTTGCTATTTTTGTGTGTAAGGGTAGAATATCAAATTGCAATTTCCGTTGCAGATAGGTGCTAAGATGTTCCCTGTGATCACATAATTAGGTCACATTGTAATCTTGGGATGAAAATTACTCTTTTGATATTTGATCATACCGTGAATTGTAGCAATCACAAGGTCATTGCAATCATTGTTTTACAAAATATCCTTGTTTGTGGTTTAAAAATACCTCCACCTGCAACTGAGGCTGTGTGCTAATTTTGGCAGACTGAAGTGCTTTGAACTTACAAACACTAGCAATTATTAATAACCATCTTAAAGAACTTTTAGCTTGACCATTTTTATGATAATCAGAAAGCTTGTGATTTGACTAACAAGAAAAGAAAGAAATTCTTAAATTGAAGGGACCTGAGTCACTTTGTTATCAATATAACAATACAGTAACTGTCTCTCATTTAAATCCAAAATCAAGCAGGCAATATTTTGTTTGCAAATCTTCCTTGCCATTTTTGCCAAAATAGAATTTTAAAAAATCTTAGTCAAAAGTGACATTTTGATGACTTCAAGCATGCTAATAGCAGTTAATTGTGTTTCACCTTGCATGCAGAAGTATAAATTGTAAAATGTGAATAATTTTAATTTTTTATTATGTTGAGATAAATTGTGGTAGCATTTTGATGACTTCAAGCAAGCTGATAGTAGTTAATTGTGTTTCATCTCACATGCAGAAATATATAAGAGGGACTTTTTTAATTATTGGCATTGGTGATCATTGACATGATTTAAAAAAAAAAAAGACTTAAAATGAATTAACAAGATTGACAGCAAAACTTATTAGCTAACCACAAAATGATTTTTGCATCAAATTATACATGTGTGTAATTTAATTGAAGCTAAGGAAAACATCTCAAGCAAAGTTTAAGGAGAAAATAAGCACAGAAATATCATACTTGTGAGTATTTTTCAGGCTTTTGTAGACAGCAGAATATGACAGAGTACAGTAGTTCATCTGTTTAGCTTAATTATGTAACAACTATGAACTGATTGTGAAATGTGACAACATCAAACATACTTGCAATGCAGATGATGTGTTTTAACACAATATTAGAAATGCCACAGGCTAGATATTTTGTAGAAACATGTTAAAACCCTGAAACCCTTCATGGTCACAGCAAGTTTTACATAATTTATATATGGTGTGGTATTACATTTGTGCATGATGGAAGCTGAATAGAATAACACTCGCAAGCCAAAAAAAGTTATAAGTACTGTGGAAGTCAGCTGTGACAGAAACTGTTCCACAAGGAGTAATAAAAGGTCATTAAAACTAAAGTTTCAAATTATTCAAATTTTGATTAATAAATCAAGTGAATTTAAATTATTGAAAAAGGAGTAATTTTTCAAAGTTAAATATGGCATCTCTTTAAAATGATCCTTTTGTTAGAATGTGGAATTTTATTTTGTACGTTATGTTTTATGTAATTTCTAGCGTCTCACATTTACCTTGTAAAACTATAATCATTTGGTTTTATTATATATATTACGTGATTTTATGGTTACAAAGCTCATGTAGTATTTTGTAATGGCCATTTTTATTTAGAATAGTTATATAAAACTATCAGAATTCATGCAAAATTTTATTTAATGATATCTTTTAAATCCTATTTGATGCGTTGCCAAGGTATTTACATCTAGGTTGCCGATATCTTTGTGATTTGAAAGTTATATCTATTTTAAACTCAGAAATATGCAATTTTCAAACAAGATGATTTAAGTGATAAGTGCAGAATTTTAATTTGTGTAATTGTCACAGCCAATGAGAAGGAGGCTGATAATGTGTTTCGGATCCTTGATTGATTTTCGAAGAAGTCATTGGAGACCAAGGTGTCATGAAAGAATGAAGATTAAAGAACTATATACTTTGAATTAAAGAAAAGCATTTAAAAATTGATTGTTACTCTAAATAAGCGTTTCTTTGTAGCTAAATTATCTGTTTTTCATTTATTCACGCGTAACATCTCAAGTTGGTTTAGTGTCCTTTCTAAAGCTAGGAATTATTAATGCGCATTGAGTAAATCATTTTTGTGTTGTTTTTATATTTGCTGCTTTTTGAAGAGGTAACAGTTATTAACATATTTAATATTAAACAAATTAAATTGGTGAGCATTCATCATCATTGCAACTATTTTACAACCTCTGCATGTACATCTGAAGGTTTGATACATTCAGTAGCATAATCTGACATGTCTAAACATATAGTTATGTAACTAAGTTGGTTAATATAAATTTTTGGATTGGAATGGGGTGTTTCAATGCTAAAAAGCAGCAGAGTCATGAAACATTTTCAGTGTGATATGTAGTGTGTTCCTTCGTTTGTTTTGCATTATGAGGCCAATATATGTTTTCAATATGAAAAAAGGTTGCAGGATATTTCAACACTTCTTGTGATCTCGAAGGTTAGCGTAAAATCTCTAAGAATAATGTATACAATTTTATTAACAGTTCTTTCAAGATTTTTTTAGATAGTATGGTGATTTATGAAAGACTGTGGCAAGATCCCATTACAGAGAATCTTCTAGGTGATATCAAAATCCTTTTAAGCTTCTCAGTATATTTTGTGATATCCTTAAATGAAAATCTGTAATGAATATGAAAATCCCTAAAGGATTCTGGAATGAAAACCTAATAGGATTTTGGCATTTTTGCCTGGTTTTTTAAGGCTACTTGATAGATTTTTCAAGAGTAATGGAATAATGGAAAACTGTAAGAATTATTTTGTCACTCTGCAGTTGGATATAATGATTTCCTGAAAAAAAAAAAAAAAAACTCAATTCTTGGTCATACACATCAGTGGGAAATGAGCCATTTTTCCTCTCTGATTTTTCCCATGAATATATATTATAGTATTACCAGTTTATGTAACTTGAAAAGTTGAAACACCATGCTTTATCTGTGGCAAAACTGAAAAAAAATCTGCATTTTTAACTTACAGTTTAATAATAATGTATTTCAGTTCCCACGAATATAATTTGTTTCCCTTCAAATTACCATTTTTCTCCCAGTTAGGAAGCATTGTTTTTGCTTACAGATTTATGTTACTACAAATGTATTTTTCTGTAACTTGGTGTGAGTCCAGGCGGCAGTTGCTTGGAAATGAAATTTCAATTGTTCAAACTTCCTCCTACGGTAATTACAGGTCGATGTTTGTATTGTAATGGTACTCAACTGTGCGGAACCTTGGTCATTAGATCTCCTGCCATTGAAAGCCCAGCCACACGTATATGAATTTTAAATTACATTCATTTGTCATTATAGTTGTTTCTTGCTTATAATTCAGGTCACTCTTGGGGGGAATTTTACATAACAATTAATATTTCTCCAGACAGTTAATGTGAATAAAGAACAACCTTTTTATAAGTTGTATTTTTCCACAATTGCAACCAGATTATACAAACCATGAAATCATCTGAAGGTAAATTTTTTTTTCCCCTTGGGTGAAAAGTTTTTCCCTAAAGGATTAATAATGTTTTTGTGCTTAAAAAACCTAATAAGTGATTGTGTGCATTTTATGATTCAGTTCTAACACCTGCTTGTACATAAACAGTCTGGTTTCTTGAACATACAAAATCTCTTTTCAACATTTTGGAAGATTAAATATTAGTTAGTTTAGAAAAGCTAGGTTATCTTAACAATTCAATTTAACGTTACCTTGAAATCTTTTAGAGAGAATGTCTTGCCAAGATATTATTAATTTGACCAAAAATTAAAAGAGGTATCCAGTAGTGTTCCATTTTTCCCAATTCACATTTTAAAAGGCTTACACAGAAAGCTTTTGAATGGGTGATGAGCAAATGTACAAATATGGAAAGATTTTATTTCAAACTTTTGAAATATTGATGGCCTCCAAACAGCAAAGAATATTTCTCACACCTGAAGATACTGTGTTGTAATTTTAACCAGTTAATCTTACCTTGCTCATCACCGAAATTGATGTACAGTCAGTACGTTTTAAAGGGTATATTTTTTTTATTGTCTTTAAGACCTCCTTAATGTGCGATAAGTTAAAAATAGCTGGGTGTGAAAAGTGTTTGTGTTACAGCTGTGGTAACAATCCTGTGCTACATGAATTGTGTTTGTGAATTCACTTTTTTGAAACACCTTTTAAAACTCTGCAAAATGTAATTTTTTAAGCTCACTTCTGTTAATATTCATTTACCTTGAAATGCATTTTATTTTGCAGATTTGAGATTAATATTTTAGTTGCATGTTCATGTACATCCTTTCATTTTAAGTTTAAAAGCATTGAAAAATGTTTTTTAGTAAGGGTTTCTATTGTTCCACAAGTGCAAGGCATCTTCTTTTGTTTTCCAATCTCTTAGTAGCATCCCACACTTGAAAGTAGATTTTGTTTTTGGAACAATAATGTACTGGGTCATATATTTAACTTATGTTTTTTTTATGCTTATTTTACACATACATGAAGCTCAGAATTCAAGTTCTAACAAAGTTATCATCAACCTCTAAATTTGAGTAAAATACCAAAAGCTATCTGCTGGTGATGTAAATGACAAATGAAAACTTCCAGTAATGTTGTTGTACAACCATTATACAGTTGAATTTGTGGTTAAGTGATGTGAACTGAAAATTTTCTCACAAAGAAGATGAATATTTTGTCATCAAGTTTTTAATTTATTATTAATTAATTATTAATAATTATTTTTTGGGGATTGGTTATATTTTTATTCATGAAAGCGTTAAAATTCACTCTTTATGAGTTTGATGGCAGCAAATGTAGTACCTGACTTATTTCCTGGTGTCTCTTATCAATCTCTAAAACCATAGGATAGCTGGGGACAAGACAGCTGAAGGCAACACAGACATTAAGGGAAGGGTGGAAGGGAAAGGAGAGAGATTTCATCCATGCCATCTACCCCTCCCCCCTGTCTGCCCCTCTTGATTTAAAAAAAGAGATAACTGGGGACGAGTTATATTTTACAAACCAACTCCATCCCCCTCAGAAAGCAGGACTCAGTAGTTTATGTTTATTGTATCTCTGTTAAGAAGCATGTTCGTAGATTTACAATGTGGTATTACTTAATGTAATGATCATGTTAATTTATTTTGTAATAGTGTAGTTTGATCTTCCAGGTGAGTGAAGTCCTGAGAAGGACTGTTGTCAGTAGTGGTGACTGACATTTCAACAACCTGAGCAGAAGTCATCATCAGAGTTAGATTGAGGCCGACCAATCACAACCAACCTATGCCAAAATGAGTCTTACAGCTAATAACATCATGGCAAAGCTGAGCATTCAGTTTATACAAACCATACTAAGAACATTCAACTGACAACAACTATTCACTTGACTCTGATGATGACTTCCGCTCAGGTTGTCAAAATGTTAGTCACCACTACCAACAACAGTCCTTCTCAGGACTACACTCACCCAGACGATCAAACTACACCATTACATGTTACCCCTGGGTTCAAACCATTTACTGTAGTAATTTATTATGATTAAAAGTGATGTGTTGCCTTGCAGACCCATTCACGCTGGAAGAAAATTCGTAGTATGATCCACTGGTCTCCATTTGTACAGAACTTTAAAAAGAAGTATCCCTGGGTGCAGCTAGCTGGACATCAAGGTCAGTGTTAAAGAATTACTTCTTAGAGAAATTTTATATTAAGTGTTTGAAGTAATTCATGACTTCTTTCAGTTAGGCAGTTTGGTTTTTATCAGCTGAGTTGATGATGTAAACTGGCCACTGTAAAGAGTTTCTTAGGCTGATTTTCTAAGTGTTAGCCCTTTGTCAGCCCTTTGTCAGCCCTGTGTTAGCCTATTACAACAGTGACGAAGGGCTAATGCTCAATATATTAGCTTTGAAACTCTTTCTGGTGGCCAATTTACATCATCAACTCGCATCAACAAAGCACCACAGTTTCTTTAGAAACTTACCTCCTTTACTACTTTCAATTAGTTTGCTCTACTTTGCTCTATGATTGCTATAAACCAATCATTGTTCAAGAGGCTATTCTATCAACCAATCATACACAAAGGTACAACCAATCATGACTTCATTGCCCACCTTGGTAGTTTGTCTGTTTTAAATGTGACTCCTCATAGGCTGATATTAATGTGAACCTTTGATATGATTGGCTTTTCTGATGACTTTTCGTTTTGGTTTATCAATAGTCAATTACAAACTGCTCCAACTTACTATTAGTTCTTGTTTTGCATTCTACTTGTGGAAGGTGCAGTGGTCATATGATCAATATGCTGGGCTCTTGATCAAATGATCTGTTGTGAAATTTGTTGCAGGATTTGTACAGGGCATGGAAAACCTGGAAATTTCTAAAATCTAATCTATATGTCTTTTCAAGGCCTTGAAATTCATAGAAAATAACTGAAATTCATTTCAATTCTGACTCAACAAAAGAGAGAGCTTATATTAATTAAAGATCTTTTTCGCATTACTTGGAAACTAACTCTCCCATGAAGTTCATAGAAACCATGCAAAGAATCAGGGAAAAGATCATGGAAAAGTTCAAATGAGTATGAGCCCTGTCTTGTAATGACAGCTTTGTTTTCATTATCAAAGGGTGTTTTAAACCAGGAGAAAATGGCACAATTCTAAAGAAATCCACAGACAAAGAGAGAGAATGTCTTGTGAGGCTAATGAAAGACATTTTGAGACCTTATATCCCTGAATACAAGAAAGAAGTTAACAAAGGTGGAGAACGTATCCTTTCAGTTATAAAATGACAAAACTGATGGAGTTTAT